TGAGGGTTATGTAAGAGTTCAATCTCTCATTGTACAAATTTAATGCTTGCATAAGTTCTTGCAAGATGCAACCTTGTTAGTTGATGTTCAAAGTCTGTCAAGTTGGAAGACGTTGGACTCGTATTCACGAATGGAGTCCACATAGGTTATCAGTTCTGACTTGGATCATTGGGTTCAGTTGCAAGGGAGAAGGCAGAGCCACAGTACTAGGGTGGGAGATAACCTATAGCACGGGCGGAAATCTTAGCTACAACTGGATAATGGGGAGTAAAGACAGACCCTCTCACCCCCGAAACGATTGGAGGCCGACCACAGGGCTTCCCGATACCCATTAAAGAAAGTGTGGCCCTCTGGCGAGACGCTGTGGAACTGGTACAACATTACGAGTGGCCGACATGCTCCTGTCATTCAGATGAGTTCACAGGAAAGCGCGGATAGGCCTAAGTGCTGTGATTGGTCAATAAGTGATGGCGTCACAGAATCTTTACTGACAATCAAGTGTAAATATCCCAAGAAGTAGTGTGAAGGGATTTGACGATAGTGAACTCGTGGTGGTTCCTAATATCGAAGTCGAGAGGAGGTGAGGAGAACTTCTTTGGGCCGGGAAGTGCGCGTGTGCGGTATCCTGCCGCGCGGTACAAGCAAAGAAGTGGAAAGTGTGCGCGTGTGCGGTATCCTGCCGCGCGGTACAAGCAAAGAAGTGGACAGTGTGCGCGTGTGTGGGTGCGCCATTTCGTCTGTCACGAAGTGCGGTTTATCTGTACCATCGTTCTAAAGACTGTTGAGTGAGGGTGTTAATTTACGACTGAGGTATTGATGGTCGTGTCAAGGTGATGGACCAGCTCGCGTAGTCCAGATCAAGTTGTCTTCTGGATTTACCGTATCATGTGGAAGCTAGGGGTGCGTGCTTTATTCCAGTACTGTTGTGGATACAGTGCTGGGCTCCCTCGCTTAAATCCGCAGTCTACCTGTCACCTGTATCGTCGCCAACAGTATGAATGAGGTGATTGAATGTAAGTACTAAAACCCGGGTTATTAAACAATCGTTGTGCACATTAATTTTGGTGGTCAGTAATCACCCAATCTTGGATCGATCAGATTATATCTCGCAACGATCTTACTCTGCGTTTGGATCCAAGGAGATTGTGAAAGTGTTAAGCTGTCAGCTCATTGAGGAGTGACAGGTCTTAACCATATAAGTGTCGAGTCACTGGTAAAGTGATCAACGTGTGTGTGTGTGTATGTGAACAAAGTAATAAACACACTTGAGATAGGATGTGTTTCATCTGTTACAGGAAGCGTTGGGATTCATTAATTACTACGGTCGTCTTAGTGGCACGTAGGTAAGTCGTGTGATAAGCGGATGTCTGTGTGGCACGCTTATCTATATAAATAAAAATGAAAATGTTCGTTTGTTCATAATCGCTAATCTCTGAAAGTTCTTCACCGATTGCTTTGAAATTTTGACACAACGTTCCCTTCGAATATGCGCGTGTTTTTATATACCTACTATGTAGATGCCACACCTGTAACAGGTAAAAAAATACTTTTATGAAAAACGGCACCATCTGTTGCACGTAATAGCAAAACATGCTATACTAAGTATGTTATGATTTGATTTCAATGTTTCCAATTGCATTGACAAATTGAATTTTCATAGATTTCGATATATTTTCATTTTGATTTAATTATTATGTATGACATTGCCTTGGAATTGAACTGTGTTGTTTACCATACCATTCATTTCATGAGTATAAGTAGAGATGCCAAACCTGTAACAGGTAAAACATGCTTTTTTTTGAGAAACAGCGCCATCTGTTGCACGTAAGAGCAACACACGCTATACTAAATATGTTACGATTCCATTTCAATGTTTCCGATTTCACTGATAAATTGAATTTTCATAGATTTTGATTTATTTTCATTTTGATATAATCATTTTGTGTGACATTGCGTTGGAATTGAGCGGTGTTGTTCACCATACCATATTTTTATATTTCGTTTTTTTAAGTGTTTTCCTTATATTTCAGTGATGGGATCATCAGATCATTTGATGTTCCAAATTTTCTGATAGGAACATCAGATGATTTGGGAATGCATCGGATGAGGGAGTGAAGAATGGTGGGGAGGACGAGGGGATGGAAGTAGGGGATGGTACGGAAGACGAGGGGACAGGGAAGGGGGTAATAGTGGGGTAGGACGAGGGGACGGGGGAGTTGGGGACGGTGTTGACGAGGGGACAGGGGAATGGAGAATTGTGGAGAGGACAAGGGGACAGAGGAGTATGGGATGGTGGGGAGGACGAGGGGACGGCGTAGTGGGGAATGGTTGGAAGGACGAGGGGACAGGGGAGTGAGGATTGATTGGGAGAATGAGGGGACGGGGGAGGGCGGAAAGCTGGGGAGGACTGGGGGACAGGGGGAAGGTTGCTGAGCGCCATGAGAACCACAGCAAAGCGTGGCCGGGTACAGTTAGTATATTAATATAATTATTATTATTATTATTATTCTTATATGATGATCCCATTCTGCTGTTTGTCTAGTAACATCTGGTTATTGTTTCGTCTGTGTGATAAAAAGATACTGAGGTATTATAATTATTATTATTATTGAAGTGTTAATTATAATTGCTTGTTGACTGAGTGACCGAGTGATTAACGCAAGGTTCTTAATAAACTATCTTTGATTGTTGACAGTCTGAGTGACAGTGTGATTAACGTAAAGTGGTTAGTTAATTGATTGATCGTTGAATGTCTTAGTGACAGAGTGATTGTTACTCTGTCACTAAGCACTGCGAATGCTTAGGGAGGGGGGGGGGGGGGGGGAGAATGCTTATTTGGAACGCTTATCACACCACTACACGAACCAAGATGCTGAAGAGGGCACCCCTCTCACGAACCACGACGCTATAGAGGGCACCACCACACGAACCACGAAGCTGTAAAGGGCACAAACCACGAAGCTGTAGAGGACACCATCTCACGAGCACGACAGTTAACGTGACAGTTGTTCTTTTGTATTCACTGACGTGAGTAAATTTGTTGTGTTGGTGAAGTGTTTTGATACAGCAAGTGGCAAGTGCAGTAATTGCCAGGAGTGCTCACGAAGTGTTCAGTTTTCTCACTTCTGTTCATGACCTGTCCAGTGGGTCGAGACTGTGGTCTGTCTCACACCTGTCAGAGTGGTGGGAACGGCGTCCTGCTGCTGCGAGGTGTCTTGACAGTGGTTGAGGTGAGACTCTTGAGTACCGTAACTAACATGGGTCACTGTGTAATAGTAAGCTAGTTGTGTAATATATTTATATGTATACAAGTGTGTTTGGTGTCATTCCTCATTCTGAAGAAGTGCCCCCATATTTCAGGGGCAACAATACCCAAGGCAAACATTGGAATCCACACCCAATAACACAACAACACAATAACTCAATAACTCAATAACACAGGGGGGCCTGACGGCTGAGTGGATAGCGCTCGGAGTTCGTAGTCCTAAGGGTTCGAGTTCGATCCTCGCCGGAGGCGGAAATAAATGGGCAGAGTTTCTTTCACCCTGATTAACTGTTCACCTAGCAGTAATTTAATAGGTACCTGGGAGTTAGACAGCTGCTACGGGCTGCTTCCTTGGTATGTGTGTGTGTGTGTGTATGTGAAAATTAGGATTAAGGACTTGACCGAAACGCTATTCGTGCTAGTGGCTGTACAAGAATGTAAAAACTCTTGTATATATAAATCATTAAATAATTAAATAATTAAATAAAACAGGTATATTCTCACATCTGGCGCCCAACTTGAGACCAGACTTGGGTGTAAATATCCGAAAACCTCACAGTCTGTCATGGTCTGTGCTCGCGCCTGTCATCTGTGTCTCGGTCTGTCATGGTCCGCCACGCACATCAGATAAGTCTGGACACATTCCTGACTTCTCGTGTGATAGGGAAAGTGCGATCATCGCCAATCAGAATATTTTCAAATTCAGACAAATCCGACAATAATGTTTTATTGTCAGTTAACTAAACAGCAATAAGAAGATAATTGGCTGCCTTAATGCTCTGTCCTGCACCTACTGCCGTCCTCGGTGGTTGTATTAGTTACTGCAAGATTGTGCTCTTGAAATACCACCTTCATAGTTTCTAACCGCGACGCTGTAGAGGGCACCATCACACGAACCAAGACACTGGAGGGCACCATCACACGAACCAAGACACTGGAGGGCACCATCACACGAACCAAGACACTGGAGGGCACCATCACACGAACCAAGACACTGTGGAGGGCACAATAACACGAACCAAGACACTGGAGGGCACCATCACACGAACCAAGACACTGGAGGGCACCATCACACGAACCAAGACACTGGAGGGCACCATCACACGAACCAAGACACTGGAGGGCACCATCACACGAACCAAGACACTGGAGGGCACCATCACACGAACCAAGACACTGGAGGGCACCATCACACGAACCAAGACACTGGAGGGCACCATAACACGAACCAAGACACTGGAGGGCACCATCACACGAACCAAGACACTGGAGGGCACCATCACACGAACCAAGACACTGGAGGGCACCATCACACGAACCAAGACACTGGAGGGCACCATCACACGAACCAAGACACTGGAGGGCACCATCACACGAACCAAGACACTGGAGGGCACCATCACACGAACCAAGACACTGGAGGGCACCATCACACGAACCAAGACACTGGAGGGCACAATAACACGAACCACTACACTGTAGAGGCCACCAGTTCAAGAACCAGGAAACCGTAGAGGACACCACCACACGAACAACGCTTCAAAAGGCACCTTCCCACGAACCTGGAAGCACTAGAGGGCACCACCACACGCTGTAGAAGGGAAGCACCAAACAAACCAGGACGATGTAGAGGGCACCCCCCTCACGAACCACTATGCTGTAGTCATGTCAGGTACGCCATGTGCATAGTGCTTCTGGCTGTCTGGGTTCGAATCCTTCTGGGGTGTGGAGTTTTCAATTGCATATATGCTTGGGGACCATTCAATCTTCTTCACATTTGTGTTGCTCATGTGGCCCCACAAAGTCAGGTGACTCGATGAAATATATAGACCCAAGCTTACCACCAAGTGCTGTCGGGATGTTGGGAAAATAGCCTCGGCTACCAATGTCTAGTGGACAGTCACGGTGGTCGAGTGGTTAAGGAACCAGGTATGCCATGTGCATAGTGCTCCTGGCTGTCTGGGTTTGAATCATTGTAAGGTTTGGAGTTTTCAGTTTATATATATATATATATATATATATATATATATATATATATATATATATATATATATATATATATATATATATATATATATATATATATATATATATATATGTTGTACCTAGTAGCCAGAACGTCGTACTTGGCCTACTATGCAAGACCCGATTTGCCTAATAAGCCAAGTTTTCCTGAATATATATATTTTTCCTAATTTGTTCTTATGAAATGATAAATCTGTCCATTTCATTACGTATAAATTAATTTGTTTAAATTTGAGTTAAACTAAAGTAGATATATGACCGAATCTAACCAACCCTACCTATCCTAACCTATCTTAAGCTAACCTTAACTAACACAACTAAATAAATAAATAATAGTCTTAATATAAAATAATAATAATTCATATATTGTATTTTGAAAAAAATTAAAGAAAATAAAGAAAACCACTCGGCCTATTAGGCAAATCGGGACTTGCATAGTAGGCCGATAAGTGTGTTCTGGCAACATATATATATATATATATATATATATATATATATTATTAAATATGACCGAAAAAGTAAGATTAATAATTCTAACACGAATTTTCTCAATCTTTCGTACATTTCTTTGAGAAAATTGAGAAAATTCGTGTTAGAATTATTAATCTTACTTTTTCGGTCATATTTAATAATATATGTCTACAGGAAAGACTGCTACCAAAATATACTAATATATATATATATATATATATATATATATATATATATATATATATATATATATATATATATATATATATATAGTGTGTGTGTACTCACCTATTTGTACTCACGTATTTGTGCTTGCAGGATCGAGCATTGGCTATTGGATCCCGCCTTTCCAGCCATCGGTTGTTTACAGCAATGACTCCTGTCCCATTTCCCTATCATACGTAATTTTAAAAGTACGAATAGAGTTTGCTTCCACAACCTGTTCCCCAAGTGCATTCCATTTTTCCACTACTCTCTCGCTAAAAGAAAACTTCCTAACATCTCTGTGACTCATCTGAGTTTCCAGTTTCCACCCATGTCCCCTCGTTCTGTTATTATTACGTGTGAACATTTCATCTATTTCCACTTTGTCAATTCCCCTGAGTATTTTATATGTTCCTATCATTACTCCTCTCTCCCTTCTTTTCTCTAGTGTCGTAAGGATCAGTTCCCTCAGACGTTCTTCATATCCCATCCCTCGTAACTCTGGGACAAGCCTCGTCGCAAACCTCTGAACCTTCTCCAGTTTCCTTATGTGTTTCTTCAGGTGGGGGCTCCATGATGGCGCGGCATACTCTAAGACGGGTCTCATGTAGGCAGTGTAAAGCGCCCTAAAAGCCTCCTCACTTAGGTTTCTGAATGATGTTCTAGTTTTCGCCAGTGTAGCGTACGCTGCTGTCGTTATCCTATTTATAAGTGCCTCAGGAGTTAGATTAGGTGTCACATCCACTCCCAGGTCTCTTTCTCGAATCGTTACAGGCAGTTCCCCTTCATTGTGTACTGTCCCTTTGGTCGTCTATCACCTGATCCTATTTTCATAACTTTACATTTACTGGTGTTGAACTCCAGTAGTCATTTCCCTGACCATCTCTGCAACCTGTTTAAGTCCTCTTGGAGGATCCTACAATCCTCATCTGTCACAACTCTTCGCATTAATTTTGCGTCATCCGCAAACATTGACATGTATGATTTCACTCCTGTAAACATATCATTTACGAAAATTAGAAAGAGGATTGGGCCCAGCACCGATCCTTGAGGTACTCCACTCGTTACTGCTCGCCAGTCCGACTTTTCCCCCCTTACCATTACCCTCTGGCTCCTTCCTGTTAGGTAGTTCCTCACCTATGCTTGGGCCATTCCGCTTACTCCTGCCTGCCTCTCAAGTTTGTAAAGCAGTTTCATGTGCGGTATTGTATCAAAGGCCTTTTGGCAGTCAAGAAATATGCAGTCTGCCCAGCCTTCTCTATCCTGCCTTATCCTTGTTACTTTGTCATTGAATTCTAAAAGGTTTGTTAGGCATGATTTCCATGTCCAGAACCCATGTTGGTGCTTGTTTACAAACCCAATGCTCTCCAGGTGTTCAACAAGTCATAGCCTAATTATTCTTTCAAATATTTTGCAGGGGATGCTTGTCAGTGATACGGGTCTGTAGTTAAATGTCTCCTCCCTATCACCTTTCTTGAAAATCGGTACGACATTTGCCTCCTTCCAGCAACTGAGCAATTCTTCCGACATAAGTGACTCATTAAAGATCATTGCCAGAGGCCCACTGAGAGCTTGCGCTGCCTCTTTTAGTATCCACGGTGATACTTTGTCTGGTCCAACCGCTTTAGTTGCATCCAGTGTTGTCAACTGTTTCATTACCTCCTCTGCTGTCACCTCTATATCTGATAGTCTTTCATCTAGGGTAATCTCTTCTAACAATGGGAGCCACTCAGGCTCGGTTGTGAACACTCCATGGAAATTTGCATTCAGTACCTCGCAGATTTCCTTGTCGCTTTCTGTATATGCCCCTTCTGTTTTCCTCAGTCTTGTCACTTGGTCGTTTACCGACATCTTCCTTCTTTTATGGCTATGTAGTAATTTAGGTTGCTTTTTCGCTTTGATTGCAATATCATTCTCATAATTTCTTTCCGATACTCGTCTTATGTTAATGTAATCGTTCCTAGCTCTGTTACATCCAATCCTGTTGTCCTCTGTCCTTTGTCTTCTGTACTTTCTCCACTCCCTCCTGCTTCTCACTTTTTCTTCATGACACTGTCTATTAAACCATGGGTTATTATATTCCCTCCTGCTTTTTTCCTTTACTGTTGGAATTACTCTTCAGCCTCCTTGCATTTCAATATGACTTGGTTCATCATACCTTGCACTGTTTTTCCTCTAATTTCTTCCTCCCACTGCACTTCTCCCAGGTAGTCCCTTATCCTCCTGTAGTCCCCTCTTCTGTAATCAAGTCTCCTTACTCGGACCTCTTGTCCTTTGGTCACACTTTTAAGTTCCATCATGTGGTCAAAGACTAGGACACAATGGTCACTGGCTCCTAGTGGTATTTCATGTTCTAAATTCTCAATGTCTTCTACATTCTGGGTGAAAACGAGGTCTAATAGGCTGGGCTTATCCCCTCCTCTTTCCCAAGTGTCTTCCTTCACATGCTGTGTTAGGAAATTCCTGTCAATAACGTCTACCAGCTTCGCTCCCCAGGTCTCCTCCCCGCAATGGGGACTCCTCGTTTCCCCATGGTGTGTGTGTGTGTGTGTGTGTGTGTGTGTGTGTGTGTGTGTGTGTGTGTGTGTGTGTGTGTGTGTGTGTGTGTGTAACTTCCTCCCAAGCATCGAACGATCTCGTAAGAGATATCCTACCTGAATTCCTGAGTAATTCAGCAGGAATACACGATCCTGCTTTCACTGAATGTTCAAATCAGTGGGATGCTCTTGCAGTCCCAGCACCCATCATAGAACCAACAAAAAAACACAAAATTACAGCTGGGATCACCCACTAGTAGAAAAAATAGCTGATGCCATGCTCTGAGCCGCAACATCAGACAAGGAGAAAGCCCGCCTCAGAGCAGTGGTTGCCCCCCATGCAGGAGACTTCCTCTTGGCAGTACCCATGTCAGCAATGGGCACGCGCCTAGATCCAGAATCCCTTCGTGTAGCAGTGGCCCTCCGCCTTGGTGCCCCAATTCACACTGAATACAAGTGTATTTGCAACAGGGTGGAAGCAGACCAATACGGACTGCATGGGTTGCATTGCGGAAGCACAAAGGGCTGGCATGCAAGACACAACGAGGTCAATGACATCATCAAGAGAAGCCTCGTCTCAGCTCAGTGCCCTGTGGAGAGAGAACCCCGTATCCTAGGGGTCCAAAACCCGGATTTCCCTGCACTTCGCCCTGATGGCATCACCATATACTCATGGAAGGAGGGTAGACAGTTGGTGTGGGACTACACATGTGTATCCACCCTGGCTGACACCTATGTACACTTCGGTGCTGATTAAGCAGATGGGGCGGCCAACCACAGGGAAACAGCAAAATCACTCAAGTAAACGCGATTGGAAGGTCGATACACCTTTGTTCCCATAGTGTCTGAGACGCATGGCCCCTGGGGTAGGAGTGCAATGGGATTTCTCTAGGAATTGGGCTCCAAGCTCATTGAAGTCACCAGAGACCCAAGAGCTGCCAGTTTTATGTTTCAGCGCCTCATTGTGGCGATCCAGAGGGGAAATGCTTGCTGCGTCCTCGGTTCGCGTCCAGAAGCGGAGGAGCTTCAAGAGATTCATAACCTTTAAGCACTCTTTGTATCAACCAATGTATATCTTGTAACCTTTAAATATATAATAAAGCAAAAAAATATAAAAAAAAAGAAGGGGGTGATAGGAGAAAAGCATACAGAAACTGTATTGG